GCCGATCGATCGGCACACCTCCAGTAAACAGTGTAAACGCTCATTCTGAAAATAATTGACCAGACTATAATTTCATTATCTAACAATGATTATATGTAAAAAAAAAAAAAAAAAAAGCGATTAAAATGTTTTGTAGGCCTGTCCTGTTCAAGGAAGCAGGTTAGACGATGCATTCCAGGCATTGAGGAGAGTTTGTTCTGGTTCTGCAGGCGGATGGGATGAGAAGTTCCTTCAGCAGGAGAGCGAGTTGAAGAGGGTCCGCTCTGAAAAAGCAAACCTGGAGCAGCACATCCTGGGAATGGAGTCTGAACTGGAGAGCATGCAGGCAGAAAGCTGCAGGCTTACGGAGGAGCTGGAGACCCAGAGGAAGACTTATTCAGGACGGATACAGCAGATAGAAGCTCTCCTTTCGGAGGTCAGCGCCCTGATTTAAATAAATTCACCTGTCTGCATCAACGGATGTTTCAATAGTCTGGTGTTTAGGTCCTTCCAGGTTTGGACGACCACAGAGAAAAATCTAATGAAAAATGTTCTTGTCTCCAGATTTTCTCTAATTTTGTCATCCATTAGTCCATCGTTTGTTTTCTCTTTGTCCAACATCACATCATCCATCCACTTTTCATTTCCTGTGATCATTTACATAATTCTTCTAGTTGTACATTTATTCACCATCCTTCTCCACGCTCTCATCCATCTATTTATTATTTTCATCCATTTCTCAGCTGGAAACACTAATTGACTTAAGGAACATCACTGATGATGGAGCCTTGTGTTGCTAATTATTAGCAGTGCAGGTTGGATGGTATCAGCTTCTTAAGCATGTCTCAATTTAGAGCTGCAAATTATTTTGGTAATCAATTATTCTGCCAATCCATTAACAGGACAAAAATGATCAGATTCTGCAGAATTTTAATGTCTTTTTTTATACAATCTTAAAATTACACTAAAAGATACAAATAAGCAAATAATTCTTAAATAAGAAAATAAACATTTTACTGCCTGAAATGCAACAACATAACATTCCTTTAGTGTATTTTTGATAATTTGTAGCAAATGAAGCATCTGCAGCTAAAAAATACTTAAATAATGTGAAAAGCTCGGCCACTTCTGCTTGACTTAACATCAATACAGGGTGGGGGTAACCTGGAGATTATTATCCTTGTTGTTGGAAAGCAAAAGGTGTTTAAAATTAGGTGTGTTTTTTTGTTTTGTTTTTTACAGAATATGAACCAGGTGAAGCTAAAAATGCCACTTGAGGAGATCTAGGTAGATCATATTTACAAAAGAAGAGTTTTATTTATTTTTTAATCTTAAATGCAAAATGTATTTATTTTTACAGCTTCGGCTCAATTACTGCTCTGACTAGCCTGTTTTTTTAAGTCTGTATTCTCCAGTTGACGATTAATCAATTACTAAATTAGTTGGCGATGATTTCACCAATCGAGTAATCACGTTTAGTCCGATTAATCGTTTCAGCCCTTCTTGAATTGTGAGCGTCCCGATCAGGTTTCCAGCGGTTAATCTTTGCCAGTGTTTGTTTTTCTCCAGACGACCCAGCTGAGAGCCGAACTCGTGTCGTGCTCTGAAGACCGAGATGAGTTGAGTCAGTCTTTATGTCATTGGAGGGACAAAGTTCACGGTTTGGAGAAGACAAACCTGGAGACCAGAAATTTAATCTCCATCCTGGAGGAAGACATCCGGGTCGGAAGGAAGGAGTACGAAAGTCTGCAAAGCGGCATGGAGAGAGTGAAGGCAGAGAGGGAGCAGGTAATGAACACGTTTTAGGATCCTTGGGGTAAATTTATCTAAAGATCCATGTTAAAACCACAATTAAATAGAGATGTTTGTTTAATTGTAAAAACTTAATGAACTGTTTGTATTTATAGTTGTAATATCTGATTTCTGTCTCTTTTTTTGTCAAGTTTTTGCAGCAGGTTGTGGTTCTGGAAGAGGCAATTTCTAAGCATAACAGGGAGAAGGAGGGGCTGCTGAGCCACCTCCACGAGATGGAAGATGATCACACGTCTACCAACCAAAACACCGAGTCCATGGCCGGAAAAATCCAGGTGAGTTCAGAGCAAACCTTTCAGTCAGTGGGGAGAAAATCTGACATCCACGCCTCTGCAGGTGTTTCCAAGGTGCAGAAAGTCTTTGATTTTTGTATAAAATCATTGAAGTGCCTGATATTCAAAATGCACAGTTTTATAATAAAGTTCAATGTAAAGTAACATTTACATTTGAAACCAGATATTTTCACATATCTAATAAAAAGACAAATTTTCTCACTGTCTGGAGTTAAATCAGACTAAACTTACCTTTCGAAGCCGCTGCTTTCAATTAAAATTACCAAAATTATTTCTATTTGAATAATGCAAAAAATAAAAAAAGTTTTTCTTGTAACTTTCTTCAGCATTTAATTTGAGCATAACACAATTTGTTGGGATGTTTCAATGTGATGATTATTATTGCTAATGACTCAATGACTTACTGATATGTGTAATTAAAATAAATGTTAGCTTATATTTTATATGTTAAATTGAAATTTTGGATTTTTTTGTGAGTGTTTTGTTCAGTCCGGTGTATAAGGCGTGAGACATTTCAAAACATAAAATTTTGGCACATTTTAATTTACCTTTTCCCTTCTGTTGAATCTATTAAGACATTAATAACAGTAATTAATAATATCACATAATGGTGAATTGAAACTGTATTTTATACATTTATTTGAATAGTTTTTATCTCCAAAATGTGCTGGAAAAGTTAAAAAACTTACCTTAAAATTGCTTGAACTTCACTGTGGGGAAAGTGTCCAAACTTCCTGGTTTGTTTGCTGTTTAGGCTTTAGAGGGAGAAGTGCGTCGCCTCTCCCAGTCTCTGGAGTCGTCGCTGCTGGAGAAAGGAGAAATCGCATCTCGGCTGAACTCCACTCAGGAGGAAGTCCGGCAGATGAGGACGGGCATCGAGAAGCTCCAGGTCCGCATCGAGTCAGACGAGAGGAAGAAGAAGAACATGGGAGAGCTGCTCAAAGGTACCGACTATGTGTTCACAAAGAACAACCAGCTGCTGTTTTTATTTTTGGTCTAAACGTGTCTTTGTGTGTCTGCAGCTGCTCAGAGGAAGTCCGACTCGCTGCAGGATCGCATCGATGCGCTGGAGCGAGAAAAAGACGAATTTGAGCAAAATCTAGAGGAGGCCATGTTGCAGGTGGATATAACGGCGAATATGTAGAGCCTTGAAAGATATTTATGTTGAATATTTATTCATTTGTTTACATTTTTCCATAAAAAAACACAAACTTCACTGGAATTTATGTGACGTAATGCGGAGCTATAAGGAAAGGATGCATAGTTTTATTTTTGTATAGTTTATGCATTTAGTCAATATTAAAGTATCAACATGCGTCTGATAAACTAATCACTAATCCACACTTTTCAGATTTAAAAATGTTAAATTATTTTCCTTCCATGTTTTTATTTTTCACCCTTTTTGTCACATCAAGTCATGATAAAGTCATTTTGAGGTTGTACGGTGACAGAACGTTGTTAAAAAGCTGAACTTTATCGTCTCCAACAGGCCGAAGCGGCAAAAGCTGAGCTGGAAGAGGAGAGGAGTAAGGTAACAGAAACACTCCAACGCGTTTGTTTTTCCCTCCATTGTTGAATCACAGCTGCTGTTTTTACTGTTTGCTATTTATTTACACAGGAACAGAAACTGTACAGTTCATTATCTCTAAAAGGAGAAATCCACGGCACCAAGTTAGAGCAAAAATATGCTAATTTCCTCCTGGACAGGTTGATGTAATAAAGTTTGATTTAACAAACTGTTAAATGAAGAAAGGCCAGGATAATAATTAATTACATCCAGTTTTATTAAAACCAGTCCTACGTTTTGGGACGGATCACCCATTTCTGGAGGATCTGATCCCAAAGAGACAAAACGTAAAGCTGCAGTACGTAACTTTTATAAAAATAAATGTTTTATTTACATATTAAAACTTTCACCATGTCGTGACAGTTTGAGACAGATGATCTGTGAAGAGATCTACTGTTGACCAGAAACAACCAATCAGAACCTGTAGGCTGGTCTTAGCGCTGTCAATCATTTCATGTATTTAGTGCTAAATTTGCTAATGGTGGAGAAACGACTGAAAGCTGTTTTAGAAATCACCAACTACAGGGTTTCCCCCAGTGTATTATAAGCCTGGTGGCCGCCATGCTTTACTAGCCCCGCCGCCAGGCTAAGCGTTGCTTGTTTACGTTTCTAGAGCCGGGGGAATGTTGTTTTTTTGTTTTTAAAGCCAGGCTGCAAGCGTCCCTTTTGCTCTTAGCATTTCACTAGCAGAGCAGATTTATCCTTAAGGATA